GATGCTGGACCTTCTGTCAGATGAGAGGTTTTTCTATACACACAGAAAGATTAAAGTAACAAAGCACATAATAAGAATAACAGGCTTGTTCTTTTCCTTTGTAAGTGACTCCAGAATGAGGGGAAGTACTGGAACACATCCACAGTGAGACTAGGGCAATTAATTCAAATCAAACCTTTATGTAAAAAGTGTTAATGTGTGTTTCTCAGATCCTGGAGCTGCTGGTGCAGAGGGACAGGGAGTTTCAGGAGCTGATGGAGGTGGCTCAGCAGCAGGGGAAGGTGCACCAGGAGATGCAGCTGCTGGAGAAGGAGGTGGAGAAGAGAGACAGTGACATCCAGCAGCTGCAGAAACAGCTGAAGGAGGCTGAACACATCCTGGTGGGTGGTGCTTTATTTTTATTTTTCCAAATTGATGTAGAAAATCGACGTCTTGTAGATTGGGACTGTGCTGACAGACACATTCAAATATTGCATTGCATTACTTCTTTTTCTACAACCTTGATATTTATCATTTTGTGGTATTGTAGGTATGACTGTTGTTGGTTTCAAATGGTGTTTAGAAGTCAAAATTTCTGCCAGAAACAGAAAAACAGAACAAAAGGTCTTCTGTAAAAGTTCAGAGAAATATTCTGCACCATCATCTGTATTAGGAATAAGACTATGAATCACAATGAAAGAGTGACTGCTTGGCTCTGAAGTGATAAATTGTAATCATTCGTCCAAATCGAAGACTTCCAAAATGCATTCATTGATCAAATAAGAACAAAGTGTTGCATTGATGGATTACTGAAAGGGCCCATAGGACACTTAGTCTCGCCACCAGACAATCAGAGATCTCCCCCTTCTGATAGTCTGGGGACGCTCCTTTCTAAAGTGTGTTTAACACACCGGAGAAAACGGCCGGCAACAAAGCAACGCCTCTTGCATTTTTGAAAAGGACACGCCCTCCCCGAAATGTGCGCTCCCCCTTTTCTCATCCACAAGGCAACAAACACACAGAGAGCTTGAAAATGGATGCCGAGAGATTTAACTATGTTTTATCAAACGTGTGCTCAGTCCACAAGATTGTGGAAATGAAGGACTTACGGCGACTTTGTTTAAAACTTTTAACGCAGTCGGACTATGTTTACAAGCACAACAGTTCAGCGAGCCACCAAAGGACCGCCCTGCAGATTTACTATTGGTTCTGCAACGTAGGGAGTTTTTTTTAAATTCTGAAATTGTATCCGCCCATCTAAACACAAAATCAGGGAGAAAGACATCAGTCTTTAGTTAAGCAAAGCGTCTAAAGACTGGTTTCAAAGCGTCTAAAGACTGGTTTCTCACATTCTGGTTGCGACCTGCTTTTGTTCCATCCCCATTGTCTAAAGCACCCATGAACACCTCTGGCAGCCGCATCGTAGCACTCTCACCCAGATGTGCTCTCGGGTACCACAATTTGGCACTGATGGATTTAACGTGAATCAGAACTCAGTAGTAACAACGTCATTCGGTTGGCTCCCTTAAAGGCATAGAGTTCAGTCCCCAACCCTGGTCCAAGGGCCCATTTTCTCAACTCTGTCCATGACTTTCACTTCACCTATATTTTACTTAACGTTGACCTGGCTTGGTTCTGGTGCACATTAACATGCACTCTGGTCCAGTGTTGGTCTGACGTTATTGAGCAGAATGTCCAGTGTTTGTAATTCGGGAGATAAATAATAGAAAGTTACTTGTTAATGACATCGATATGTTTCACACAGATCATTGCAGATTTTTTCTGTCAGTCTAAATCCTTCTTCTTCTCTTTAAGGCCACGGCAGTTTACCAGGCGAAGGAGAAACTCAAATCCATTGACAAAGCAAGGAAAGGTGAGCTGTCACACTTTGTGATGAACGCTGAGGTTGTTGACTCTGGTTCTGTGTCTGACAGCGTTTTGACTTGTTCTCTGCAGGAAGCATCTCGTCAGAGGAAATCATCAAGTACGCTCACAGAATCAGTGCCAGCAACGCCGTGTGTGCGCCGCTCAACTGGGTACCAGGTAGGAGCCACAGACTCCTGCTCCTCCTCCTGCTCCTTCTCAGCTTTTACTCCACTGTTAACACACATGTCTGTCTCAGGTGATCCACGCAGACCCTACCCCACTGACCTGGAAATGCGCAGCGGGATGCTGGGTCACATGGCCAACCTGCCAACCAATGGTGTGAACGGACATCTGCCAGGTGACGCTTTGGCTGCTGGGAGGCTCCCAGGTAACACTGTTAAGAGGTTTTTATTGTGAGAACATATGTTAGTTTTTTTATAATCTGACTGAAACGTTATTCTGTTTCCACTCTGTTCTTCTTTGATGGAGGATTTAATTTTCACCAAACCAGTCTGACGTATGTTCAAAGTAAAAGTCCTCCACTGCGTCTGTTACCTGTGTGAATTCACAGAATAACCGTCATCTCTTCTGTTTGTCCTCAGACGTCTTGACACCTCACTACCCCTGGCAGTCCTCAGACGTCTCAGTGGGGATGCTGCCTCCTCACCATGGCAACGACTTCGGCTTGGAGCCTCCAGGTCACAACAAGGAGAACGAGGACGACGTGGAGGCCATGTCGACAGATTCGTCCAGCAGCAGCAGCGACTCTGACTGAAAGACAGAGACTCAGACTGTGTGTGTGTGTGTGTGTGTGTGTGTGTGTGTGTGTGTGTGTGTGTGTGTGTGTGTGTGAGTGAGAGAGAGGTCACCACTGAGCAACATCAGATCAAATAGGACTCGTACACACACCCGTTTTCTTATTTTTCAATGTCACGGTCCATCCATTTTCATCTGCTTATCTGAAGCTGAGTTGTGGGAGCAGCAAGCTGAGCAAAGTATTCCAGACGTCCCTCTCCCCAGCAGCTTTCCAGCTCCTCCTGGGGGATCCTGAGGCGTTCCCAGGCCAGACGAGATACTTAATCCCCACAGTATGTTCTGGGTCTGCCTGGGGGCCTCACACCAGTTGGACATGCCCAGAACATCTCTAACAGGCCCTTGTCATGTTGTTTACAAGCCTGCCTGTTTCCTCAGAGATATTCTGGGTTGTATTTCATATTTTAATCTGCAGTTTGTGCATCTTTAAAGAGTCAGAGAGCTGCTGCTCCAGAGGAAACAGAGACAAAGCTTTAGAGTTTCTACTGACAACATGGAGGAAGGAGTGAAGGAGTGTGTCAGGGTTTCAGCCAGTTCTTAGAGGGATCCAGATTTTTTTTGTTTTAAACGGATTAGTTAGACATTTTGGAAATATTCACTGTCTTGCTGAGAGATAATGAGAGCGTGTATACCACTAACTATTCTGTAAACAGCCTGTATTTGCACCAGTTTGAGAGTTTAAACAAACTGTATGTCCTTTGTTTGCAGTTTAAACAAACTGTACGCAAATAACAACAAAATAAACAAAACTAACAAAGACAAACTCATATTCCAGGCTTCTACATGAACATGTAATTAATGTAATATCCTTCGGAAGAGAAACCAAACCTCACGTTCTGACTTGTCTAGCTCTTTGGTGACCCATGTTTGAAACTATCAGTGTGACTCGTCAGTTGTAGCAGAATTTCCACATGTAGTTTGAAATGTTAAATAACAACACCGACAAGTGCTGTTAATTTACCTCTGTGTAAATAAGCTTGTACATACTCAGCCCTGTAAATAAACACTCTTTGAATAGAAACTGTTTTTGCCCGTGGTTATTCGGCTGTGTTGCTTGTTTGCTTTAGACCTGAGAGGTGTCAAACAGACTTAAGGTAAAAGGTAAAAACACAAATGCAGATACAGATCATGTTACATCCATTATAAATGTATACTGTTCCCTCTGAAGATCACCTCTTCATGTTACACCTTGCATCTATTTCAAGTGCTTTATATTTATTTACGTGCTTATAACCAGCTTTCTCTGGCCCCAGTTTGGTTTGATTTTACTTTATTATCAGAGAAAAACATCTTTTTAATAAGTAGATGAATCTTAAAAGATTAAATATTAGCTGAAAAACAGTGTTTTTGTTTTTTCTTTCATAGATTATTTCACCAAATAGACCTTTTTTAGGCTCATCAGATAAACTTAAAATGACCCAATCAGCAGGCCAGGGTGTATTGAAACTTTAAATAGTAATGATTGTATCTAAATAACTATTTTCAAGCTTATAAACGAAGTGAGATCACATATACCAAACAGCACTGAGCACATAGGCTTTCTACAACCTGAAATCATCGAACACCATTCAAACCTTTATCTCACACATCTGACTGGACCCATCAAGCTCTTGTAGCAGCAGATAACAAACTTTTCAACAGTCTATTAAGTTCCAGTTAACCTTAAAATGTTTTGACCTGGTGGAAAGATAAAGAAAGTAATGAGTAACTTCCCTGACCCCACGCTCATACCTCAGAGTAAAACACAAACTGCACATGATTTAAAATAAAAGCCCTGGGGAAAAACGGTAAAATCTATTCTGCATCTTCAAATATGAGTTCAGTCGGTTAAATTGGATTAACATCTATAATTCTTTGTTATAATACAGCAATGATGGTATCAATATAGGTGAAAGGCCAGAGTGAGGCTATATTTACACTGTGCCAAGGCCACGATGCTGCTGCCTTCAAGTACTCTTTGTAAATCTCAATGTCTATGATTGTCATGTATCTGTATTGGTATTTTGGTTTAAAAGAAAGACCAGTAATAAATTCTTTTTATATGGTTTTGGTATGTATGTTTTAGTTGTAAAATCATATGACATAGCTGATTTGCAAATTTGTCATAATGTTGTGAAGGTGAGAAGACGTGCTCATCAGCCATATCACAGATATTTTGAATTACAATTGTTTTATTTTAACAAAAATATTTGGTAACAAGTGTTCGCATTTTTGATAACCCAAATTATCCCCTGTCATACTTACCGGGCTCTTTAAAGCGTTCATTTTGAAATTATTGTGCAACTTCCGACAGCGTTTGAAGGCGGCACAGAGGAAGCCCTCTTTGCAGCTCACCACGCATGCGCGTTATTCCTCCACTTTAGAGGGAGACATGGCGGCGTCCCTCATCTGCGGCCGCTTGACGGCTAGCCTGAGAAATTCAGGGGCCAGAAACACTCTCAGCTCCGCTTCCAAGGTGAGTGTGTGTTCGTTTTGAAGCGTAGGTCCTCGGCTTCCCGAGCAGGTACCTGTGAGAACGCTACACCTTCGGTAACGACCACAGCTCCCCCAAAACCTGACAGGGTCAAATCTGACATTAGCACATCCCCATTGGGTTGTTATGGCTAACATGCTAACTAGCGCGGTGCTAGCGTTAGCGCGGCTGTCACTGTGAAGTGACCCAGCAGAAACACAAGCTAACACAGGCATAGTCCGTGTTTAATTAATCGATGTATCCTCCTCTGAGTCTTGTCTCATCAGTGTGATGTTGTACACGGTGTTAACGGAGGTGAATCTGCGCAGTGAACACCGGGAGCCGCAGCCCGGTGACCTCCACCCTCACAGCGGAGGAGAAGCTGCTGAGCTCTGCGCCACCGCCGCGTCTGTCCCGCCGCGTCTGCGTCTGGAAAGTTAGCCGCATAAATCCGCTCAGCTTCAGTGACTGTCATGAGCTTTCACTGCGGAGGAAGGCGGTAAACACACTGCAGCAGGGGCTGAATGTAACGAAGTACATTTACTCTTAAAGGCATAACGTTAGTTCTGATTCCTTGAGTTGGGGTTGTATGAAGAAGCAGGCTGGAGTAGATTGTGGTCTATGGTGGTCTGCGGTGCTGGCAGGGAATCAACAGGGAAAACGTCAACAGCTCCCCATCTGTGCTCTGGTCAAAGCCAGACTCCATTGAGAAATACAACAATTTTAGCTGGCTGAACACAGAAGCTGCTGCTTTGTTGCTGCTTTGGTCAGTTAGTTAGTTAGTGTCATTGTGTGACTTTGGTTAATTGGAATTGAGCTTTTTGAAAGCCGAAGTCACACCATGACACCAAAAATCAAGTGGTAGACCAGCAGTGGTAGGCCAGCTGCTCCTGTGATCAGCAGTGTTAAATTACTGTTTTTTTCAATGGAGTCTGGCTGTGAAGAGAATGATAAAACAGCTTCAGTTCTCCACTGAAAAGTGAAGGGAGTAAAAAGTAAAAAAAAAAAGGAGTAAAAATATTCCTAATAATAATAAGAAAATGTAGCATATGCTTGAACTGACTGATTTTTATTTTTTATTTTTTGGTGGCTAAAATGTGTTTTGCCGCTGCCCCTGTCCACAGCAGCACATTGTTTAGCATCTGTTCCAGTGCTCCAACCTGTTTCTCCAAATTTAGGGCGTGCCAGCTGACATCTACGTTTTTTTGGGGAGTTTTTCCTTATCCGCTGCGAGGGTCATAAGGACAGAGGGATGTCATATGCTGTAAAGCCCTGTGAGGCAAATTGTGATTTGTGATATTGGGCTTTATAAATAAAATTGATTGATTGATTGATTGATTGATTGATACTCTAGGTCACACACTGATGTATAAGTACCTCATATAACCTCACCTCAAAAAAATCTGAACTATCCCTGTAAGATGGTTAAAAATTCAACTGTAGGAGCCGTGTTGGAGCCTTTTTTGGTAGAAAATAAGTAAAAAAAAAACTGCTGTAAGTGACGTCTGTGGGTGACAAATTGTCAGGGCTGTGAGCAACACAAACTTAAGTCCATTCACCTCCATAGTGCTGTGGTGGAGGCAGAAGTCTGAAGACATATTTATCCAAAACTATCTGCGTGAAAAGAATCCACTTCATGTTTTTGATGAACTGAGCTTTTTACACATTTCTGCAGACGCTTAACAATGAGCCTGAATTCAGCAACATATGTAAATATATACTCTGTGGAATTTTACAGCAGTAATCCCTCTCAATCATCACTCATGACGGGTTCAAAGACAGCAATATAACAGCTCCATTTTCCTGTTGTACATCACTGTCTGACATTAATGTAAAGTGGTAAAAATACTCCCAGTGTAGCGTACACTTAAACTGATAGTGCTTTTTTAGGAGGTTAAAATATGTTGCTGCTGCCCTCATCCACAGCAGTACATTGCTTAGCTTCCATGTTGTTTTCCAGCCTGCTTCTCCAAAGTGGAGGCATACTAAATTACATCTACTGCTTGTAATACACTGACTGTGGATATGTACCCCTTACAACCCCACTTCAAAAAGTCTGAACTATCCCTTTAAGGCACTTGTTACTTGATTATTTCTGTGTTATGCCTCTTTTGCATGACATTTATCTGACAGCTTTAGTTACTGTTCAGACAGTTTTTCCCTCCCTTCCTGTCCAGATGTGTTGGTGGAGAGTGTTTGTGATAAACAGAAGGATATGAGTTGAGAAATTCATCTCCTTCTGAAGCTGAATAAACCAGGGATGTACGATATTGGATTTTTGCTTAAATATAAGAAGTCATTTGGTCGATATCAATACATCCACTTTATTCCCCACCTAATTTCAGTGATCGTCAAGTCTTTTCTGCAGTAGAGTTACCATAATATTATACTGAATGCTCTTCATTTATTCTGCAAAATAAGAAAAAGTGAGTTGGGAAATTCTTGTAGTTTATTTTAAAGCCAATATTGGCCGATACTCATGATGTGCTGATATTATCTTGCATCCCTAAAAGAAGCTCTTTAAAACCCTCTTGAATCAGCTGGAATGCATCATCACTGCCACCATATTGCTGTAACTACCAACAGTAAATAAATGAGTTAAAATGAGTACAACCAGCAGTAAAATGACACATACACATTAATGCAGCAGTGATATTAATCCAAAAACATCAGATAGAAGAGGAAACATTTTACTGCACAGTGACTACTTTTACTTTTCATTCTTTAAGTACATTTTGCTGATAATACTTGCGAACTTTTACTTGAGTAAGGTTTTGGATGCAGGACTATAACTTGTAGTTGAGTATTTTCAAAGTGTGGTATTAGTGCTGGAGCAAAGGATCTGAATACTTCTTCCACCACTGCCTTTATTAGAAGTTCAAGCAAGTCACAGTGGGTGGAAACTCATAACTATGTTGCTGTTATGTCTCGAGCATTGTCAGGCGAGTTGCAAACAAATCCTGAGTTGCTCAGCTCAAGGGTGGTTTGTAATGTGTTGTCTGGGGGTTCAGACCACTTCCTCACATCCTCTCGCGACACGATCCTGTGCCCGAGCTCCGCAGGCAGCTCCGACCTCACAGCTCAGTGTGTCAGCTGTGAGACCTCATATAGACAGACAGGTGTGTTCCTTACTAAATCATGTCCAATTAGGTTGATAGCGTAATGGCAGACACCTGAGCTTAATGTCAAGTCATATTCCTGTTTATTCCTTTAAGTAAATTTGCTATAATCCTGTTTTTACTTTGTCATTATCTGTTATTAAGTGTAGATTAACGAGGGGAAAAATGAACTTCAACATGGGGTCTGATTAAGCCCACTTTCTGAATGCACTGTATATAAAACTAGATATCTGAGGTTTGGATTATAACATCTTAAAATACTGTTTTCCTGGTGTTTAAAACTGCTCTACTGTGATGCAGTGACTTTTTTTTTGTAACTTATTTGATTGTTCAAGCTGAACACTGTTAGTCATCACAACCACATTACTGTTGACTTCCCTAATGAGGTTTCTTACAGTGGTTTAACAAGTATTTAGATCCTATAATCAAATACAGATAGCAGTACCGCTCTGTAAAAGTGCTCCATAACATGTAAAAACTGTACTGTATCAAAGTAAAGGTACCACTATTTAGGCACAATAGGCTCTGTCAGACTGGAAAATATTATACTACTGGTTGAGTATTACAATGCATTTACATGTAAATAACATTTTTATGTTGTAGTTGGACAGGATGGAGCTGATTCTCACTATTGTACAACTGTATAATGAGGCATGGTGTGTTGTGCAGTCTTAATAGTTATTTTTAGGGCGGAATACTTAATATCAGTTTTTGGATATCGAAGCTTGAGTGAGAGATATACACAATTAGTCAAAGCTTGGAGGGAGTTGGGGTGATGACAGACAAAATTCTGACTGTATTAAAACATCAGTTTTCCGTGGGTGCACTTAAAATAATGTGACTATAAGCCACAGATTTGTGAAGAGTGTTTCCTTCAGCACATCAGGCACTCGACCTTTTAGGGGTCAGCTGTGAAAAAGTTTGAAACTATTTCAGACATTTGACTTTTTCGTGAGGTTGTCATCTTTAAGCCTGTCACCTGAGATCAAACTGTCCCGGTTTAAGTCGCGCTGGACTGCTGGTGACTGACATTTGATGAGCCTGAGCTGGAGTCACAGAACTATCACTGAGTTTGTGTCTCAGAATAACAAATAATACTTAACGCTAATGCACAATGAATACTGTTGAATTATTATTTCTTAATTTGTGGGTTATTTAGAGTTAAAATAACCGATTTGGACCTCCAGTACCATGGCAACAATCAAATCTTTGAAGCATTCGGGTCAGCCTTGATTACTTTAAATCTTAATCTGCAAGTTCAGTATTTGCCTCTGAAATGTAGAAAAATAGAAGTAAAATTTAAATACTGACGAACCTCAAAATTGTACATAAGTACAATATTTGATTAAACGTACGTAGTTACTTTCCACTAATGGTGTCTTGTGTGTAAATGTCACATGACACTTTCTGACATATATAACTTTTAAATCACAATATCATTGTATCATTATACAGTAAATGTTGGCAGTGTCTGTTTTTGTACAAAATAAGGTACTTAATTATTTGAATCTAATTAAAATCTCTACAAACATTGCCATAAAACCAGTCCTGCTTATTGAGGATTTTCACGACCAAAAATATTTAAGTTTTCTATCGTCATATTACGCACTTGTAATTTGGTGTAACGCACACATTTTTCTGCCAGCTATGAACTATCTGTAATATTCTACTTTAAGTACATAGTAATAACATGGTGATGGTGTTATCAACCTGTTGCAGCCTGTGTGAAGTCATCAGGACCCAGACTGTTTTTTACTAAAGCTGGAAATGTAACCAGAAGTTAAAGACAAAGTATGAAATGGAAAAACAAGGTCAATAGTTTTATATTACTGTCAACATGCATCGTCGCGTGTGTCCTGTGATCCAGAGTATTTGGAAGCACATGTCCAACTTCAGCTTTTCTGAATCAGTGAATAAAATTGAACAGCGATTTTCCCAATCAGCCCTCCAGTTTAGTCCTGACGAAGTGTGAGCAGCTAAAGAGGGTGCAGACAGACAGCTGTGTGTTGAAGCTATAAACAGGAGCCAAACATGTCTTTTTAACACCAGGCTGGAATATCTGCCCCTTTTTCTCTCCATTTTCTCCCTGTTTTCAATCAGCAGTCTGTTGTGTCAACACTGATGCAGCAGACAGTATGAACACTGTCACCTCCGTCACTTCACAGACCAACATTACTGACTCTCACTGTTTCCCAGATGATCATGTTTTCCTCCAGCTGACTCAGTTTGAATTGAGAAACACTTTTACACGCTCTCCTGCTTTCATTTCCTTCATCAAGTTTCCAGTGTTGCTCGTGTTTCCCTGCTGACTGCAAACACTTCTGCTCTGGTGTAAGAAAGAAACTCTGCGTGCTTTTGTTTTTGCGTGTATGTGTGTGTCTGTTAAGTGTGAAGAATCTCCACCAGTTGTTCTCTGATAATGATAATCTATATATAGGCCTCGATATTCAGTAACGGTTTATCTCCTGTCTATTTTTAGTTGTCATTCAGATGTCTTAGATTTAATCCTTCATATTTTCATGAAATCAAATGTTTTTGATGTCATGTATGGTCGACATTTTCTCAGCATTCTTTACATTGAGTAATTAACTTTTTATATAGTAGTTGTTGTTGAGGGTGGAGTTCGCCGTTCCTGTATGGTAGGGATGGACTGTAAATGATGCAGCATGTAATCCAGTTACACCAGTTAATCTACTGGTTGTGTTAACAGAGAGGCTGCTTAGTGAGTGTTTCCTGTTACAATAAACTGCATCTACTGTTACCACAGTAACCACAGATGTCCTCACATCAACCAGAGCTGAAATCTGAAGGGTTCATTTCTTCTTTTTTTTTTTTGACAAAACATTTTCCATCTCTTCTCCTGTCGCTCCAGGTTCTTGCTGGTTCCTCAGGTCTCTTCGGCGGCCATGTGTCCCACCTGCAGCAGCAGCAGCAGCAGAGGAACCTCTCCCTACACGAGTACATGAGCATCGGGCTGCTGAAAGAGGCCGGCATCTCCGTGCCAGAAGGCATGGTGGCCAGCTCCTCAGAGGAGGCGTACTCTGTCGCCAAGCAGATCGGTAAGCCGCGCAGAGCCTGGCTTAAGTGCCAATAATATCATTATCGAACATATTTATCTCTGCAGATTATCACCATATGTTTAAGTGACAGTTTGGCAGGCAGGCGTACAATAACTCTTTACTTTTATAAAGTGAAAGAACAATTAAACAAGATAATTAATGTGACCAGACATTTGATGCAAACACATTAAAGCAGCTCCACACCCAGCCCCTCGCTCTTATAGACGAACCCAGCGTGTGCCTTTTCTGACATCTCATGACCTTTGTGTGTGTGAGGGCATTTTAAACAGCTGTTCAGTGTGGGGACGGACACACATGCACTCAGTCTAAACATAGCCTCCCCGGCTTCAGTGGGATCAGTTGACACCTGACTTACATAATTGCGGGATAGTAAAGAGGTTGCACCGATTACTCTTCTCTGCTTTATGGAGCTTTGTAGTGACTTTAAGCTCATTGTTTATCTGTGCGGCCACAACTGTACTGCTCTGGCTAAAGTGTTTCCTCGGGGTGACTGCTTCGGCCTGAGAGTCTGACTCAAACACTCATTGTTCCACCTAGCACCTCACCAAATTAGTTACTTTTCCCCAGGAACCACTCTCCACATCTGCATAAATTAGATCCACACACAGCTCTCATTTATAAAGAAACTCCGTCACTTTTTAAGCTGCTTCACCTCTTACTCCTGCTTTTTCCTCCCTCTGACACAGTGGTGAAGAACACCAGGAGCAAATGCCAGGAGTTTTCATTATAACAAAATTATGACTGCTGTGGTTACTACATTCCAGATTAATCAGAGCACACAAGGCCAAATGCCCTCCAGAGTTATCATATGACCAGTTGCTGACAAGGGGTCTCATTCATGAAACGTGAGCAGAAGGAATTTGTGTGTAAACTGTTCGCAGAAGGAAATTTACGTGCATGTCAGCATTCATCAATATTTTAGTAGCTCCGATCTTTTAGTAGCTACTAACAAAATCTACTCCTGCTCCTGACCACTCGTAGTGCTTGTGTAAATGTAGTAAAGCACATAAATATTGCTTGTCACTATTGGAAATTACAATTTTAACTCGTATAGCGCTCTGTTATGTACACAATACACAGATGCCTTTGAAGCACGTAATCTAAACATGACAAAATATTAAAAATATAACACATTTAGTTAAATTAGTTGGCAATTAGCAGGTGTAAGATCCAGATTAGGTTCATGATTGTGAATTATCTATGTAAATAGACTCAATAGATTACACGTTCTTTCTATATGCTGAATGATGATAATAAAAATATCCGTAAGGACAGCCGGATCACAGCCTCTTCAGCCTCAGTGCCTGGGTTCAGCAGGGGCAGCAGGAGCAGCAGGTGATGGAGCCACGAAGGAGCCCGCGCCAGCTGAAAGAATTATTTGAGACAACACGTTTTTTCATTTGAATGAATAAATCTGATTTGAAAAATGTTTAATTTACATTGTATAAAATAGAGCTTTAGGCTATTAAGATTCAAATAATTTGAAGACGATGCATACAAACTGCTGTAGGCTATATGTTATCCATATCATTTGTTAAAATAAATGTTAAATAGCTCTATATTCTGACAGCCATCACTGATTTAGAGTTTATCCATTATGCACAAAACATCTCTGGTTTCCCGTTCCCACTTCATTCAAAACCCCACAAATGAATTTTCTGTTTGTTTGGTGACCGCTGTATTTTTGTGTGTGTGCTTATGCGTTTCTTTGCCTCCAGTTTCATATCAAACCTTTTACGCTTCACCTCTGACATGGTTCTTTGTACCACGGAGACAACATTAACAGCATCTGTTTCCTCCCTCCAGGCCTTCACTTTGCCTGTCCCTGTCACACCACTACTAACTGAAGAAAATAAAATGTTTTTTCTTAAGTCCACTTCACCCAAAATTATTTCGATCTCCACTTCGGAAAAATTCTTTTTTCTTTCTCTGTCTTTCTTTCTTTGCGCCATGACTGACAGGTCGACAGGATGCACCTACTGTACACCTCCTTATATGGTGGTCATTGGCTATTCATGGGCGGGGATTTATGCTAATTGCTGATTACCGGGAGAGCACTGTCACTTTACGATGGATTGGCATTCATGATCATACACACGTGTTTACGATCAAATCTGAGTTTCCCACGGCGTTCCTGAATCCGGAGTAGGTTTTTAGTAGAGTAGGCTTTTATGTGCAAATCTACACACAGATTTACTCACTTTTCATGAATGAGACCCAAGCAGTGCAGCATTTGAATTTTTTTTTTTCAAAAGCAAGTCTACAGCAGTGCTCACTCCACATAAAACATCACTTCCAGCAAACGTCACAAAGAACAAACAGCGTCACTGATCTGTTTTAGCAAAATATTCTCTGGTCTGGCTCAGCTGAAAACACAGCTGTAGCCTGCTGAAGTACCTTCACGTCACCTGCTCAGCTGACTTCAGTAGCTCAGATAGCAGACACTCAACTGGAACACTAGAACAGATATTTGATAATACATTCTTTTAAAAATTCAAATATTTAGGGATTTTATCGGGGAAACTCTGGGTTCACTCTTTGTGCTCTTCTAGAATCGTTTCCAGTCCTTGATGAATTTGTAAACTGGTGTGATGTCCTCCGAATGATTGTGGCTAAAACAAAAGATGTGTACTGATTTTCGGAGATGTTCAATGTTTGATTACAGTGAGCCATGGCAGCAATAAATGTATTTGGGCACTGTCCTAGACGAGAATTTTTAAATGTAATGCAAATCCAAAGGCTTTAGGCAAATTAACTTTTCATTTTTTTTTTTAAGGAAGTTGAGAAGTTGTAACGTGGACATAGCACTGATGAAAATGGTTTATTCTTCTTTTATTGAGTCTGTCCATTTTTATGATTTCCCTTTTGGCAGTGTTAGTCTTAAAAATAAGAACAAACTGGACGAAAGCTGTGCCATAAGAGAACTGGTGCTCCTCTTAATGACATGTATAGAGTGGGGACCATCTCTTAAAGGCACAGACTATTGTTTTGGACGCACTGCATCCTTAACATGTTGAGTTCCAGATGCTTTCATCAGGGAGGAAGTTTAGGGCCTGTCCCAATACCCACACTTGTCCTAGAAATACCCACTTGCACTTGGTTGTGCGCGTTCACGTTTAGGCTAGTGGTGTCCCAAAACAGAATTGAGGTAGTGGAAGTGGTTTCTAACACTTAAAATACACCCTAGATTCCAGGGGACCCGACCCACACTTACAACGACGTGGAAGATGAAATTTCCCAGAACACCTTGTTTTTTTGGAAAACAATTTGTTACTGTACGATCGTAATGTAGGCTATACAGACAACAGATGGTTGGACTAGCGTAAACTCATCAGCAACTCGGTTAAACACAGCGTCAAAATATTTAAACAAATCGACTTACCGGAACAAAATCGATCAGAACTAGAAGACGTTGTAGGCGCCTCCTGTTTCAGCATTTCTCCTCCATTGATTCATCAGACGGAGAAGAATAAACTTAGCACACGCCACAACACAAGCGCTGGAGCCGGCATTTTTAAACTTGAAGGACTACCGGTATCTTGCGTCCATGCTACGCATGACATATGCCTACAAGTCGGCCACGCCGATTTGCGTGAAGTGGTGTCTCATTTCTTAGGGAAAGATCTCTACCCTAATATTTCTCACTTCCCTCATCAAGGGTTATCTCACAAACGAGGGCACTCAATACCAAGTGGAAGATTTAAGGCGTAGAAATGGGATTGGGCCAATGTCTCCCCATAGGTCGCACTAATAGACACAGATTGTCCTTTGTTCCATACGCTGTTGTTTTTTTTTAAACAGTTACAACTCCGGATGTCATGTCATTGTGTCTTCTTTGTTTCCATGGTTTACAGTGTCAGTGTAGGAGATATGGATTTAATACTGTGCTGTGTATTATTGTATGCGTTTGTATTTGACATCTGACTTCAGAGTGAATCGCCCCTCGTGGAAATTTTTTCGAATCTTGAAAAGAAAAGGCTGTAAAAACCCACAGTACTCCACCTGCTCAGCAGCAGATAGCAGACAGACACTGTTAGACACTAGCTGGTGAACATAGTGGAGCATTTAGCAGCTGCAGAGACAGATGTTTCCCTCAGGAGTTGGTGGAGACCAAAATAGACATTCATCAGGTGACATAAACACAAAGACTCCAAATGAATCATCATGTTGGATGTGGAAATAAAGAACTGTTTGCTGATTCATTCTTTCATTTCAGGTTTCTGTCAAACATCTAACAAGTCTTTTTAACAATAAATCATCACTCCTGCCTTTTAACTTATTAAAACTGAAGTGGCTGTTAAAAAGAAAAAGATAAATGTCATTTTAAAAAAGAGATTAAATGATCTGACTCATCCCCGTGATAACAAAATAAAGATTTATATTGCCTCAATAAAAAAGACATTACAGAGCTACTTCTTACTTTACTATCACAGTTTTCCTGAAGCCCAAAGTGACATCCTCAGATTGTTTTGTCTGGTCAACACTCCAAACCCAAAGACGTTCAGTCCACATTTAAGATTATTATTAGCATTATCACAATACTTGTCAGTTTATTTTCTGTCCGTCTGCCTGAAATGTTTCAGCTGTGTGAGATGTTAAAGGGTGAGATGTTAAATAGAGGTTAGGGGTGCAGAAGTCATCACCAGAGTCGTCTCTGTTTTGTCAGTATCACAGTTAATGTTTTATTCATGGACTAATGTGTGTGTGTTTCAGGTTCAAAGGACCTGGTGGTGAAAGCTCAGGTTCTGGCTGGTGGCAGAGGAAAGGGGACATTTGAGGGCGGACTGAAGGGAGGAGTGAGGATCGTCTACTCGTAAGTAACCCAGTCTTTGTCATCAAACACAAATCTAATGCCAAAAACAACAGAAATAATCTGCTGCTTTACTTCACGCAGCCCGCCCAGATTTTTTGTTTGTTCTTTTGTGTGGTTTGTCTCTTAGCTGCAGGTCGCTGCTGGGCACCATAAATTCACCTCAGAGAGCTTTTATATCTGTGCAGAACAAAAGGTCTTCTGTCTTTAGATCAGATCACTGAGGAACAACTCCCCTAAGCGAAATCTTTCTTTATGTAGAACGCATGACGACACATCAGTGATCCAAGGCTTTTGCTCCTATCATGCACAAAATCTTTTTTTTTTTCCAGGCTTCTCCAAATTTGAAACATCTTTCCAGGATATGTCGCACAGAAATAAAGTTCTAACTTCACATCTGAATAGCTGAGGTGCTGCAGGCATCTGTAGAGTGTTGCATTAGTTTTAATTGGCACAGCTGACTCTCTGACATTGTAAAATGCCACCTACATGCCAGATGTCAGCTGTGTGGCAGGAACAAGCTGCAGAGAAGCTGCAAGAACATGGAGGAGGAGATTAAAATGATCTTTGGAAGGAAAAAACAGATGGCTGTGTCGAATCCGAAACCTCAGTGTAGTTAACTGTGAACCAGAAGTTCTTAAGAGTCACTCAGATCTGTGCTTTATGTGATATTCTTAGATTTGACTTATCAGATGTGATGCGGAGGAAATATACATGACGTCTCCTCTGACAATCATTTTCCTCCTCCTCAGGCCAGAAGAGGCCCGTGACATTTCCTCCCAGATGATTGGTCGAAAGCTGTACACTAAGCAGACCGGGGAGGCAGGTCGCATCTGCAACCAGGTGTTTATCTGCGAGCGCAGGTACCCACGCAGAGAGTATTACTTCGCCATCACCATGGAGAGGTCCTTCCAGGTGAGAGAAGACACACACACACACACACACACACACATATAGATACTGATAGGTCTAAAGCTGGATTTAAGCCTCTCTGTCTGAACTGTCTCCCACACGCTTCTGATGGTGGTGGAGATTGTTGATCGTGGAGACAAACAGGAAGTTGAATAAAGTATTTTTCTTTAGTAACAAACGTCTCTAGCAAAGAAACGTTGCTCACTGCAATGGCTGTTCTGTATGAATGAATGAAAGTAAACAGCGATTGCACATGTGGAAGTCTCCTTTTTAAATATGAAATAGTAAATTTATATATGGCCGCACGTATAACTACTTAATTGGTCATATGTGCAGCTGAACCTGACCCACCGGCACTAGGTCCACAGCTCGCCCCAAAACTGCAAATCCTATAATAACCATGCACTGTTTGAATAATTCTGCAAGCCAGCACGGTTAAAGTGATCAGTTTGGGACATTTCATACATGTCAAAACTAAAATAATGTATTTTAAAATGGGGTTGATTCAGAAAATACTATTTAAATGGATATGTTTTGCTTATTCTGATGATATTGAGCAGCACATCTCCTCAGTTAACGTGTCCGTCAGTAACGCACCTGATTGAAGAGGCTCTCATGTTCCAGCTGCCGCAAGAGACGGAGCCAACACACAGAGTCAGCAGTCAGAGGACTAAAATGTTAACCATTACACTAAGTTATTATTATTCTCGTTTTATTCTAATATATATATATATTATCCAGCATGCTTGATCTGACCTGCATGTTCTTTGTTTAACCTGACAAAGACAAAATACCACCCATGAATCACCTTTTTTTTTAGAGTGTCACTGACCGGGTACCTGACTGGGTACGGGACTTTACCTCAAAGATACATGAAACCACAAAGATATGTTATAACGACTACAAAGATACAATAAAAAAAACACCACCAAGTCTTGCGTCCATGTAGGAGAGGTGATGGGGCCTTCTGCATAGCTGTGCCCAGGGGCCCATTGTCCTATAATCCTCTCATGAATAGACGACTCAGGGTTTCCCACACATTCATTTATTTGTGGCTGCCACGACTAAAACATCTGAAGCCGCATTTAGATTTTCTATTTTTGGAGCTGGACTGTTTATCAGGTGGCTGCTGGAATATATATACCGTTCAGTTATTATTTGCTCCACAGATGAAGCAGCAGAAAAGCAGTGAAAATGAAACTTAACCATCAGTGAGCTCGGTCTTACGTTTGCTTTTACTCACAAACAGCTGCTCCCCTCATCCATCAATCTGATCTGATCGGCTCTGATCATCTAACTACATTGCATTTTTTGTGTAGTTCAGTGTCTTCAATTCAGTTCAATTAAATAGAGCTTTATTTATCCCGAAGGAAGTTCTTGTGCAGAGAATGCTTCAAATTACATTAACACTGAGTACAGTAACCACAACCACACAGTAACAACCAGTGGGTTCCCCGGGTCAGGGTCTCTCACTGGGCCCAGTTTTAGAAACAATAGTGTATTAAATATCAGGCAAAATATGAAAACATTCAGGATAAGAAGTCTTTTCAAGGAGCAAAACCAAAACCAGCACCACATCTTGATGAAGGTGGTGATTGCTGCTGTAGCTGAAGGCCCAGTTTGAATTTTGTTGCTGCTGAAACGGCTCTAATAACAGACGAAGATGTACAGAAGACAATATAATCATAAAAACGAAATTAAGAATACGTAAATTGTCATCTCAGTAATTTAATGCACACAAGTCATTTTGAAAAGGAAGACGTCATCCTGTACAGGTGTTTGCTGGTTGTTCTGAATTAAACCACTAGGTGGCAGCACAGCCCTAAAAATAATGGTAATGGTCTTTTTTCAGCACAGACTGCAGTGGTCTCATGGCACTGTTTTATATAAGTTACATGCAAATTAGCTTATATTTTAGAGACAGAGACAGCATCCTGCAGAGGTGTCCTCATTCAGCTAAATACATGCTCTGATGTGATTTGACAGACTTTAAAGTTCATGTAACTCATTAACCTTGTAGAAACCTGCATCTCACATCAGGACAGTGTTGGACAATCTGCAGCTATGAACAATTTCAAATGAGTCCAAATCCTCCTATTAGACATTAAACAAATGTTAAGCTTCTTGTTACCAGATTTGTGCTTTTAAAGGATTTATCTGCTGCCTGAATGAAGCCCACCTCTCAATCCACATCCTAAAATTAGGGGATGTATTTCACAAAACATACTGAGGCTAAAAAAAATACGGGTCTTAATCTTATTTTTTAGAGTAATTTACAAACATGTTATTGCTAAAAACAGTAATATGCTGAAAGACAGAAACAATGAAGGCAGATTTCAAAGTCAATCAGGGATTACTTGTCAGACAACTGGAAAAAAATATCGCAAGTACAGTGGAGGATGAGTCTGAGAGATACTTTGTGAACATGGCCCCAGATGTCTGCAGGTTTTTGGCAAAAAAAAGACCTGGGTTAGTTTCCCTGTTCACTTCATTTTGGAGAAATTAATAGAGTAATTCAGCACATACATAATGGGATCATTATTATACATTATACATGCCACAGATAATGATGATACCCACCAGAGATCTGTCTTCTTAATCTTCACTCCTACAGCAGAGAAAAGACAAAAGAAACTCCTCAGGTGGAACCAAACCTTTTATTAGATGGAGTGTGAGATGTAAAGTGCCTCCCTTTGAGATCAGTAGGTATTCAACAGGAAGGATTTTAACATATAGTTGTGCTCACGCATCTGCTTAAGTTATAGTCAGTGTGCAGAGGTCGTGTGACGGAAGGGCCAAAATGGTTTTGAACAATTATCTGTTATTTATCTGTGAAAATGGAACATAAACTTCAGGGACAACAAGCAGCGGCGTAGTGACAGACTAGCTGTTGAACATAGTGGTGCATTCAGCAGCTAAACAGACAGATATTTCCCTACATGAGTCTGGAAAGTCTTGTTCTCTCTGTTTTCAGGGTTTAGAAAATCTAGCCTGTGACAGGAGACTTTGCCCAATCACTGATCATTTCAAAGAGAGGGTGTTCCTATTGGTTGGTCTACAAAAACAGATGCGCAATGGAGGACAATCCTGCAGAGAAAGTTGCTATTCTGGCGTTGGCAACAACTGCCTACACTGCCAAGCAACCCAAAAACAGAAGACAGACGATCATAAAGAGAGTCTAAAAGAGAGTCTGACAAAAAACTAAATAAAACTTGTCAGTTACAGCGAAGCATTTCAGAGATGGAGAGAAAATGTTGCTAATAGTTCAGCATTCTGTGATCAGGAGCCCAAAGGCTCACGGCTGCAGCTTCAAGTTCATGTTCATGTAGCTAACGTTAGCTAGAGCCTCGAATCACAGCGTGTCCTCCGCCTCACTCCCCACCACTACAAACCAGCTCTTGGGGAGAAGAGCGGGAAACAACTCTGGAGATGAACCCGAAAGCCCTGACTCCTGCAGATCAGCAAACTTTCTGTTGCTGCCATTACACAGGTTAGACCAGGTGCAGCCACTGGCCACCAGCCCACTGTGACACCCAGCAATGGGGGGTTTGCATTGGCCAATTCAAGCCGCTGCAGCCGCCAATTAAAAGGTTGTCTCTTGAGCTGCTGCTTGCTCTCCTCCTGGTGAAGCAGTCCACAGCAGCGGGGAGTGAGGTGGACGAACTATGGGGTGGCTAGCAGCTAATTCTTGTCTCATTTGTGGTCTGGTAAACAGAGAGAGAGAGTGGGAGTGAATGCACTGTGGCCAGCTCTACAATGAAATATATTAAACACTGGGTCACTGTTTGAAGTGCATGCACACTCCCTTGGTCGTCTGGTGGGAGGAGCTTAGGACAGAGCTGCAGGAGGAGGGATTTCAATGTCTGTCGTTTTATTCCTTCGCCTCTTGATTTGTGCCTACCTATTTTGATTGTCAAGTCACTGAGTCTTTTTCCAAGCTAAAATGCCAAAAATTCATCATGTTCTACGAATACGAAGTTTTGCTGCATTACTTTGTCTTATTTGACTAAAAATCAAACATCTTTTCAAACTAACTGAAATTAACAAGTATTTTGAGATGTCATCTTGAGGTAGAAAACTGGCATATCATTTAATTTATTTTAGGTAATTATACAATCAAAAAATGTATGAATCTATAATAGATATAATTGTTAATTACAGCCTCTAAAATAAGTCCAGCTTTATGTAAAACTACACTTTTTGTGGTGAGACTCATTAGTGAGTCTGCTTCATTGGATGGAAATTAATCTTCAGAGTGAGATGACAGACTAAAATCTGAAACTCAAACTTCACAGATTTTTCTAATCATAATCTCATCACTCCCTCTTGTGTCCCACAGGGTCCTGTCTTGATTGGCAGTTCGCAGGGCGGCGTGAATATCGAAGATGTCGCCGCCGAAAATCCAGATGCCATTGTGAAGGAGCCCATCGACATTGTGGAGGGCATTAAGATGGAACAGGCTGTCAAGGTACAATCAATAGTAGATGGAGGAAGTCACAAAACACACTGGAGACGCTCCAACTGTGTGGTTTGGGCTGCAGGAGAAATCGAACAGAGGAGGAAGGGATGCTGGGTGTGTTTGTGTTTGTGCTGCTCGGCCGGAGACAATGTCCAAAACTCACAAGGGGCTGCATCTTATTTCTCAGAGGGAAACTCTTTTCTTAACAAGGTACAGGTCCAATTTCTCTCCGACAAATCAAGTCTCAGGCTGGAGAAAAGCTTCAGTCCTCCTACCTGTTGGTTTCTTTCAGAAAGAAAGAAAAATATTTGATATCCTTGAAGATTTATGATTTTGTTTTGATGTCCAACAATTCGCAGATGTTATTTTTGGACACTAGCAAAGTTATAATCAGTCTCCTGGACTTCATAGAAAGCAACCTGCATTTTTCAGGCAGCTGCTCTGAAATAACCGTCCTGCTTTTGATTTTCCAGTCTGATGGTTATGAACAACACTCAGATGTTTAAAATGATCCATAAATATACCCTTGACGGTGGAGGATGAAGCGACTATTGTTATGTTTTATTTACAAAGATGACAGTGCGTCTGAGTGTTTGAGCTTTTGTCACACAGAACAAATAATGTCCTTTTGATCAGCTTCACAAACATGTACGTTCCTGGTGTCTCGCACACCCCCTCCCCGAACCATTGCCACCTTGAACCCGTTGAGCTGTCACTACGCTACCAGGTGGAGCTCTCACACTGTTTCCCACAGTTGATTTTTTTTTTTTGCACATGCCATCAACATTGAGCACCACGCCACATACTGTGTTTTTGTCAGTTTTGTCTCAATTACCCGCAACCCCCAACCCCCCAAGGTAGGAAAAACCAAGATCTGAACTGACCTGTCGATTTTGAGAATTATTACATCCCTGCTGCCGAGGAGCATTTTAGGCTCTTTCAGCTCATTGTTTTGGTGTTATTGCACATTTATTGTATTGGTTCATTCTCACTGTTCTCAGAGCGTCGCTTAAAAAAAAAAAGAAACAGCCACTGTACCCTACCTACAGCAGCAAACAGCTGACGGACACCGTTAAAGACCAGCTGATGAACAGTCATCTTATCCTCATCTATTGGTTCGTATGATTTCTCACAAAATTAGTGCCCAACGAATGATGTTTCATACTTAACATAAAGTTACGTAATTACCTTTGTTGTGGCTTCAAAATAGTCGCCCATAGACGACATTACAGGAGATATGATAAACTCACTGTCTTTGGTTTTATTGTACTCACTGTTTGATGATCCAGGTGCTTCGGTTGGTTTAAGAGTTGATTTGTTTGTAGGATGTTTGGAGAGTTGCAGGATGGCGTTATGAATTGATTGTCTTGACTGTCACATTTAGAAAAGAAAGTGAAAACAAAAATCCCCAAACAAACGTTCAGTGGGGTATTAACCGACCTCATCAAACAGTAAAAAGCAAAGATTAACATAATGGGCAGCGGTTAAAGACTGTAACCCCGAGGCGTCTCCCATGCACCACGCTCACATCAGCACACCTGCCTCTAATTAAAGGTTCCTTAGATGCCAGGTCAGGTGGCGTATAGACTGACTCAAAAAAATAATAGGAAACCAGGACTTGCTGGAAATGGATCTAACAAACTTTAAGTTACTGTGGTTAGGTTTAGGAAAGGAAACATGGTGACGACTTACCTTGAAATGACTCAAAGTTCACACAGTTCCAAACATGTGTCTCCTGAGGAAAGTCCTGTGTTTTGCAACCCATCAAACACCCCTATGTGTGTCCATAGGGGACCGCTTCCTTTTTTACTACTGTTCGTTCAGTGGTCATGTGACACTGGCTCATGATTACGTATGATATATACAAATTTTGTGCATTACTTTTCATAGGAAAACATACAAACAGTGCATGAGAGAAGCCTGACGTATTGGAGCTTAGCAGCTAAAGAGACAGATTTCCCTCAGGAGATGGTGGAGACCAAAAACAGAGCTTAAAGAGAGAATATTGGACTGACATTTATCAGGTGGACACAATCGCAAAGACTGCTCATAAATCATAATGTTGTTGCTGGACATTGAAACTTTTGCTCACATGATAACCAAACAGATTTATAAAGGCACTTTATATATCAGAGTTGTGTTGCTGGCTTGGTTCCACTGCCCTGAAGTGGCCAAAAAACCACCTCATACAATCTGAAGTCATTTCCAAAGTTCACCAAACATTCTCTCTAAAAAACTCCCAAAACATACTTGTTTCTGTTAAAGTTTTATTTGTTAACCAGTGAACTCAGTTTCAGAGCATCGTCTCGGATCACTTCCCGCGCTACAGTGTGACCTGACCTTTTACTGCTTCACAAACATTGTTTTACAGTCCTGCAGGTTTTTTGGTCATTATGTCTTTGAACCAGAAAATCACAACAAGTCATGTAACACACACACACAAACAAAACACACAACTCAAGCTTGGATGCAAGATTTGCAGAAACAGGGGTCAAAAACTGGAATAAAAGCTGTCAGGGAATTTGACATTTTCAGTCTTGCTCAGTTTTTGACATGAGCAGACGTTTGTCTTCTCTAACGTCGTCACTGGTCTATTAGAAGCAAATTTTAAGGTTTATTTTTACACATTTTTGGTTATATTTTTCTTTAATCTTGGTTGTACTATATCACTCTCTGTTCAGTCTCCTAGTTTCAGTCCATTTTCCCTCTCGTCTCCTTTGTGTTTGAGTGTAATTTTGCATCAGATCTCACCGGCAGGGCTTTGTGCTGCTTTGGGCTCTGGATATTGAATATGCTGGTTGTCATAGTGAGAGCAGACACTCAATATATTTGACAGAGAGAAGAGGTGCTGATTGCACCGCTCTCCAAGTAGATGGAGGTCCATTGATGTTTGTTCACTCCTTTTACTTTTTTCTAACATCAGGTTTCAGACCTCAGGTTTTCAGCAGGTTTTCTGTTTCTAGAGAAACAAGAAGAAGCTGCTTGTTCTCTTTCAGTTTGATTGTTTTTCTGATGCTGATAGATAATTCAGAAAATATTGGAGGTGGGAATTGATCTAATCATTTCCCACGGTCATGGAAAAGTCAAGGAATTAGTAAAAATCATAGAAAGTTTTGGAAAACACTCATGGTATCTCGTTGTTTGTAATGACGTTAATCGTTACAGCAATCTTCCGTCACGTATTGTAGCATAACGGTAAATTTATTTTCTGCAAGTCAGCTGTTGACATAATGTAGCTCTAATATGTGCCAACTTCGGGCTGCACAATGTATTGTTTCACCATCGATACTGTGATGAGCAATAGTCGCTTTGAAGGACGTGCAGTGTCAAGAAAGGCAAATTAATTGAGAAGTTGCACAGTTCTCATTTTGCATCACTTATCGTACAGGATCTCTGCTGCATTAAAGTCAACATTTCTAATGTTACACATCTTAAAACCTCGCTGAACATTATACTGTCTTTTTGTCTATATACAAAATGTAGATTAACTCACTAATAACCTAATTCCAACGTCAAACCGGACTCTGCACAGGAATACAGAGATACTACTCTTCTGAAATGCTTGAATAAGGACAAGATTTGTCCAAAAATCTGTCTTAAACTTGGTTAGAAATGTCTTGAAAGGGTCGTTAAAGGCATTAAGAGAAGGGAAAGACAAAGAACAAGAACAGAGAGAGACAGATAAAATTATAACGATAACAATGCTAATGATGTATTTAATTGTCTTGTCCTTGAATATGTTAAATGCAACTCAGCGTTTTAGTTAATTTCTCAGCAAGTCGATAAGCTGATGTCAGCGTTTCCACAGGAGCCATGTAGACCCTCTGAAAACAACTGTAGACAGGGTATAAAGGGAAAATACTTCTATTGCAAATGACAGAACAGTGAACAAAAGTGTAAACTAGTCATGTGATGTTAAATATCTTTGTGTTTCTATCGTGAACTGCCACAAAAAAACAGCCTCCCCAGAGTCTCTGGGCAGGTGAAACAAACTGGTCGAGACTGGAAAAGACTTCAGTTCACATCCAGACAAGTGTGAATCAAGTTAAATATGATAGAGACATCTATAGACCAGACTCGACCACTGCAGTCCTGTTATTACTGTAGAGTATCAACACCAAGTTTTAATCATCCGCTTTTTCTCTAGATTGCAGCATACGTAACTGACTGAAGTTTCCAGACGTCAGAAATGACCAGTCTTATTTTTTTCCTCACATTTCTACACAGCAAAGGAGCTGCAGCCTCGACCGACTCTTTTCTTTGCTCTGTGGGAGTGACGCCAGCACTCATGCAAAAAAATACTATACCTCCATTTTGTATTTAATCTCAACAAAGAGGAGAGAGTGACACATAAAAGATGCTGAAATGAAAGGTCTCTGCAGTTTCTCTGTGGCTGCAAGCCATCAACTGTGCTGCATAATTATCAGTTTGATGTGATGGTATTTTAAAGGTACGGTGTTTACTCTTTAGTTTATACAGATTACACAGTGTAGATAAAACATGTTAATCAGTGAACTGTAGAGGAGCTGATAGGTGGATTTAGTTCCCTTTGAACAGAGCCAGGCCGGCTGTCTCCTCCTGTTCTTGTTTCCTAAGGTAAGCTAACCTGCTCGATCTTTGTAAAGTGTGAACATGATGCTCAGTGACATTATTAATAATTATAAAATGTTCTGTGTTGCTGCAGGTAGCAAAGAAGATGGGCTTCCCGTCGGGGCTGGTGAACGAGGCAGCGGAGAACATGATCAAACTGTACAATCTGTTCATCAAGTACGACGCCTCCATGGTCGAGATCAACCCCATGGTGGAGGACTCCTCTGGCATTGGTACACACACACACACACACACACACACACAGCATCTTTTTCAGGAACCTTTCAGAGACTAAGCAATAAATCCCCTAAAAAAGAGAGACTAAAAACTGCCACCAAAGCCCTAAACCTCCTGTGTCTGTCTGTCACCAGTGATGTGCATGGACGCCAAGATCAACTTTGACTCCAACGCAGCGTACCGCCAGAAGAAGGTGTTCGACATGCAGGACTGGACCCAGGAGGACCCTCGGGACCGGCAGGCCGCCAAGGCTGACCTCAACTACATCGGCCTGGATGGAACCATCGGTTGTCTGGGTCAGTGCTCGGCAAATGTCACAAAGCAAAGGCAACATTTCAGGATTTTTAAGGAGGATGATTTTAAAATCAGATGCCCCGTCATCTGGGAAAATAGCTGTTATTATTTTTGGAAAACTGAAACATTTGGCCTCATGCATCTTCTTTACCTGAATCTCTTTTTAATGTGAAGTTTGTTTGTACGAGGGTTTCATTATGCATGAGGCCAAATGTTATGAAATCATAAAACTGCATAATCTGAACATCCTGCTGAACCCCCTTCAAACTCTTAAACTAAAATATGGAAAAAATAAGGAATGAAAAGTTGAATATTTGTATTGATCGGCCAATCCAAATCGACTGACATAATTCTGAGTCAGGTACAGCCTCAAATAATAATGTATAATATTTCTGGGATCTTTTAATTTTAAGACACACTTTCCTGCTCCTCCCTTTTTGTATTATACTTTGAACTAACCAATGATTATTGTCCTCTCTAGTAAACGGAGCAGGTCTGGCCATGGCCACCATGGACATCATCAAACTCCACGGTGGCACGCCGGCCAACTTCCTGGATGTCGGAGGAGGAGCCACGGCTCATCAGGTGACTGAGGCCTTCAAACTCATCACCTCTGACAGGAAGGTAAGAACACATCTGCTGCTGATCCTCCAGGCTGGTTAATGCTTCCTCTGATGTCTGCGTCACCATGACGTTAGTTATTATTAGTTATCATAGCATAGCTTTGTGGTGGTTAACGCTAATGTTGTGTCGGCTCAGGTTCAGGCCATCCTGGTCAACATCTTCGGAGGCATCATGAGGTGTGACGTCATCGCTCAAGGCATCATCATGGCTGTGATAGACCTGGACCTCAAGATCCCCATCGTAGTGCGGTTACAAGGTAGAGAACACACACACGTGCGCGCGCACACGCACAATTTAATGTGTTTGGGCTTTCTGATAAATCTCTCACACACAGTAAGATTCTCACACATCCTGGAAAACCTGGAAATCTACAATGAATTAATGACCAATCTATACAGACTGAGACGTCTCCTCTCACATTCTCGAGTTAAACTTTCATTCATATCATAACAATAATTTAAGACTAGTCCATAAACACTGAGTACAGCATACCATACCATGACTTAGTCATACCAAAAATTAGAAAAAAAAACACCAACATTGGTCCACAGGGGGAGCCACAGCGATCGGTCGCATTTTAGCCATTTTGAAGCATTTTTCTGTTGTTATAGCGCCACCCAGTTGCCAATTAGAGTTAAATTTCTCCAGTCACCTTGAGGCGTCCTGTTCTACATATCTACCAAGTTTAGTAAAAATCCATATGGCGGTTAGGCCTAGATAAGAAATGAGCTCTCTAGCGCCCCCATTTTGTTTGATGGGGTCAATAATGGAGGGGTCCCCTCAGATTATGTGTGGTCATATGCCTACAAAGTTGCGTGGTGATGGGTGAAACCCTTGAGATGTTATACACCTTTATGTGATGAGTCACGCCCTCCGCAATATTCATTGCCTTATAGAAGCTCAGTTTTAGTAAGTTTTCCAACTTTTGCCAAGAGGGAACTTTAGATATTGGTCCCTAGATTATGTTCACCCAGTTTCATGCAGATCGCTCAAACTTCCTAGGAAGAGATCCATTTGAAGTGTTTTTCAAAAAATTCAAAATGGCGGAAAATCTATATAAGCGGAAGTTATGGATTCTTGAGGCAAATGTGTTCCTCATGAGGAGAGGCATCTCTGTGCAAAGTTTCATGTCTCTACGACATACAGGGCATGAGATATGCCCATTCAAAGTTTGACATTTCAGTCGGTTGCTATAGCGCCCCCCTTTGGCCAATTGATGTAATATTGCTTCATTGGCATCCTCCCATGACCCTCTACCACTGTGCCAAATTTCACATGGAACAGACACACACATACACACACACACACACACACACACAGAGGTTTCGTCATTTTATAGTAAGATGATGAACTTTATAGTTTTGAACCAGTGCGCTCAGTATTTGGATCATGTGAAGCAAAGTGAGCTGAATTTAGAGGCTACAGCATTCGCTGTATTTTCCAGGATGCTTGTTTTGTATTCTTAACTGCATGATACAACCCTGAACTCTTTTAGAAGCTGAGTTACAGTAAGTACAATTCCAGCTAAACTACATTATTGCACTGGAGCTGATCTGAAATATAATAGTTGACACAGTTTTCCTGTTGAAAAGTTCTTCACAGTGTTTACCACCTTAAGGTCGGCCCATGTGTCAAATTCATATTTAATCAACATTTTACTAAATGTAAGTATCAGATTCGACTTAATATTAAACCTATCACCATACACTTAACATCACTCGTGGTTCCTCCTGTGCTGAGAGAGCACAGGAGGAGTTCAGAAGTTCTGTGCTCCAAAAACACTAAGAGCTAGGAGATGATTTGCTGAGAGGAGAGCGGGCAGAAGCTCAGAAGGGAGACCTTCAGTAGCAGCTGCTGCAGCTTTAATTTAGTTGGGGCAAATCTGTGTGCTGGGAGACACAGCAGGCTGGGTCTGATCTAACAGTGGCAACAGGAAGTTTGAGAACCCTGTTGCTGGTTGAGTTGCCACAGTAGCTGAGGTTCCGTGTGCGCCATCTTCTGCTTTGTCACTTTATCTTTGTTTTCCTGAAACAGATATGACGTGATTTTATATATAGATTATCACAATAATAGCAGCAACTTCTGTCTGCCTCTGCATTTGAATCAAAGTGATTTAGGCATAAAAATAAAATCCTAAATTTAAAGTTTGTGTTCCTGAACCAGTAACTCTGGACTAACTGAGGTCAGACTTTAAATTCAGACATGATGGAGCCATTGTTCTGGACTCAGATTAACCCAATTGTTACGTCTTCCACAAGATGAACAATTTGGTCTATATGTTGTTGACAATGTCCTGCAAATAGATTAAAACACGCTTTAACTGCTCTTCATGTCCTGAGCTGGCCTCAGCCATCAGCCTCTTTACACTCCAGTAAACTAAACACACACACTGGCAGACCTCAGCACCTCCAGTCAGACGGGTTAACAGGCAGCAGCTGGCAGCTCACAGGGAGAACTTGTGTCTGTTTGATGCCTCCTACTTCAAAGTCTGGCTCCTGGAAACATGCAGAGATCCATGAACCCGACTGAACTGTGGATTATTATTAATATGTATTTGTATGCATATGTAGATTCACACTCCATATTGTCGAGGGCAACTGGTGATCAGAAAGCTCGTTAGTCTTTTTGGTGTGTGCGTGACCTTCAGATGACTCTGTGGAGACAGATCACTGGATCCATAGCTCACATCTTTATTCATCCAGCAGCAGCAGAGTCAGGGAGCACGCAGATGTGCTGCATGCTCGTATTTGGAGCCTAAACAGAGCTGACATTTTTCAGTTCTCCTCAGGGTGACACTTTGCTGCTCCTGTTTTCTATTTTGGAATCAAACACACGTTCACCTCACACTGGTGCTGCTGAGGTTCTGCTGAGAGACTACATCCAGATTTATACTCTAATACAAACTGAAGAAGTGCTGCTGCTGCTTCACACATTTTAACACATGCCAACAAGTCGTCCCGCCTGATGTTTGTTTGTAGTCAAAGTCTGACCCACTGTGTGTGAACAGATGTACTCACTAACAGTTTTCATCCATGTGGGAAAAACAGGAAAGGAAATTGGACAAAATTCAAATGTAAAATCTCAGTTTAAAAAATGTTTTAAATCCTCTAAAGTTAAGTGAGCGACTGTAAAAGTGCAGAGTATTCAATCATCCACTGGCTTTAATGTCCCACAAATGGTCTTTACTTTGTACTAGTTGTGGTGATGTGGCCAAAATCTCCTATCACAGTAAAAGTAATTTTATGTCATGGTAACGGTATATGTCACACTATAGTACTTGTATAAATTCAGTTAAGAAATGGTTGAAATTAACCGTATTTATTTTATTATTTGGAACCTCCATTCAAACAAGACAACAGCCTCGAACGAGACAGCGCAATAGTAACAAAGTAAAACTAAAATTCGTTCAAAATGGACGCTTTAAGGTTCCTGAGAACAATCATTTCAAGTGGTACAGGTTCTGTATTTACAACTGCACTCTCCTCCTCCACGTCTGTCCAAATCATGTTACCTTGTGACGCAGTTGGATTCATGTTATCGCGCAAGAATCACGATATCACCAAGCAGCAACCTGCGGAGCTCAAAATGAAGCCCAAAACTGCAGATCCTCTAATGGCCACTTGAGGCTCTTTCGCCCTTCTCCAGTGGCTCCCTGTGGCTTTGGCAAAAAATTATATCCAAATTAATAATGTCATTGTTCAGTTTTCGTAGGCCTTGAGTGAAACTTACATTCTCCATTGTAACAAGGTAAAGTCTATCCATAGAATTAAAAAAAAATGTTTCTACATTTTATCAACTAAATGTGCGTCATGTCACAGCCTGTCACCTTTTACTTTAAATTTTGATGAACCTCAATAGCGATGGCTTGTCCTGGAGCTCCCAAGCTAAGCTAGCCATGGACTGTGGATCAAAAAAATACTCCTGGAGAAATAGAGAATTGAACAGTGTGTGGACGTATTGCTTGTACCGCCTACCCTGCAAACTTAAAGTACAGTTCAGTAAAACATATGAATAAAGGCTCATTTAGACCTATTAGTGATGTTAATCTGTGAATTTGGATTTACTGTTACCTTCATTGTGAGGCTCAAATATGTTTTGCGGCTCCAGGCAGATCATTTGAGAGCTTTTTTGGCCAAAAATGGCTCTTTTGATGCAGACGGTGCAGAATAAACATGTTTACAGCCTGGTACAAAAAAACGATTTGGTCTCTATAGCTAATTTCAACTTTCTTGACAACTGTGCAGGGACTGAAAAGTGTTCATACATTTTATTAAGGTTTAAAGTTACACATAATTAAGGGCAGGCTGCTTTAAGTGACAGGCTGTCTGCTGATCCTCGGCTTCTCAGCCAGATCCACCCCCTTGCTCCTGCACAGCTCCAGCCTCTCACCCAGATATGGTCACCCCTGGCTCCAGAAAAACAAGATGGCAAACGCCAAATGTTAAACTCTAGGCCGACATCACTGGGCTGCGTCCTTTATTTTGGACAGTATATGCATGTCACCCAAGAATCCAGCCCTGATTTGCTTCATAGACTGTCTTGAAAACCTCTAATTGAAAAAAAGTTGTAAGGGAACCTACTTTGTAACGTGAACGCTGGATTTCTTCTGGATTTACTTAAATTGCTTTCCAGAGTTTTAAAACCCTGTCACAGAGTATTTGAGTCCTCGTTGCAGTGTATTGATCTCTGATAAACCCTCAGACTTCTTGATCCGTACACAAACGTCCTGGATAGACTGACTTCATCAGGTCTCAGAATCACTGCCTCTAAGTTCAGTATTTTATTCAATATCAGATTTTAATATTTCTTGAGTATAATTTGAAGTTGTGTCCTGATAGTTCTGGAGGATGGTTATCAGCAATCACCCTCTGTGATTATCCACAGTGAGATTCAAAGAGAGCTCTGATCACCACACTAAGAACCCTGCGGTAGCATCTTAAAGATATGTTAATTTAAAAACAAACTAATGTCACTGCAGAGCCTCCCTGACGCTGACACAGCTGCATTCTGTAAAGCTCATTGTATGGTGGAGAATATAAACAGAGCAAAGTGTTATTGTCTCTGTCCTGTGAAGGTGTTACGCTGTTTTCAAAACCTCACATTTGTCTTGTTTTTTTAAGGAACGAGAGTGGACGATGCCAAAGCTCTGATCGCTGCCAGTCCGCTGAAAATCCTGGCCTGTGACGACCTGGACGAGGCCGCAAAAATGGTACACACACACTCAAACACACACTTGAGCACACACACTGCCATGTGCTGCAGGTAGGGAGATGACCAAACAAACACCTGTCTGTTAAACCTCCAGGTGTGTGTGTATGAATCTGTCTTTATAACACACACTGACCAGCACAGGAAGCAGATGAATCTTCATCATGTCAGGTGTCTCCCACAGGTGTGATGTAGCGAGGTATTAATCTGCCTCCCACTGATTAACATCAAATTCATCTTTACCTTTTTGACCTTTTTCTTCATCATCCTCTGTTCATGTCATCATCTGCCCTCTTTTCCTTTCAGTACTGAAACTAAGAAGCTATTTAAAGACATGAATTGTGTTTTTATGTATTTTTCTACAGTCAAACAGCTCTCAGTCCAAATCATGTAAATCAGGTTTTTGCATGTCTGCTGTACAACTGTAGATTTTGGATAGATTATTTTTTCCATAAAGCTCCAGGTAGCCGCTGGTTTCCATTTATTTCCATACAGTATGAAAATCCTATAGCAGACCAGCGAAACATGTGAGTGTTGAGGTACTTATTATAAAACGCCTCTCTTTGATGTGTCTCAGATTGTATCTCATTCAGAGCTGAACCTAATGATTATTTATTTATTGATTAATCTATCCATTATTTTTTTGATAAGTTGACAACCAATTCATCGATTATTCTAAAGATTTTTTCATCACTCAATTGATATAACACTTAAATAACCCAAAAATAAACGCTAGTCTCCGAAATATTTAAATATTTTACTCAATTATCTTCTCTTAAAAATAATGACATTAGCAGCATATTTTAAAATAAGTCTTATTTCTGCATCACTATTGTGTTATGATAATATTTTGAGTCAGATACCTGATCAGAAAGTGAAGGACCTCAAATTCAAAAGCATTACTGTAACACATGCATTAATTACGGTATATCATAGCAATCAGGAGAACCAGTATTTTGCTTAAGTACTTGACCTTAGACTTAAAATGGTTATGATTTATTTCATCACTGCAGTAACATGCAGTTAAGATTATTACTTGCAAATGTATTTTTTGCATCAGTGTGAAAGTAACAAACAGTTTACAGACTGTAATTAAAGTCTGGAACGAAAGTTTAAGCCATTTTGTCGCTCGTGCATGCTCGTTAGAATAAACAGAAAATATAAAACAGCCGAATAACAACAATCAGGGCGGTGCGGAAAGTTTAAGTGACTGCTACTAACAGACACATGTTCCCTATGTTGATAATTCTTATATATCTTGCGTATGTGTTCTCCTGTGAGAAGTCATTTATACTTTGTAGGTGAGGTTTTCAGCTGCAGCTCCTTCTCTGGACGAATCCATGCTTACAGCGGGTGCTGCCTAATTTATTGCAACAAGTCGATGAATTGCCCCGCCCCTAATCTCATTTGCACATTGTACTGGACAAAAGCGAACCAAGTAAATGAATGTAATTTCCCCCTTTAATCACCAGTCACACTTCCACCAATCTGCCTTTAAATTGAGTGCGTGCATTTGTTTCAACTCATGGCAAGTACTGTTTGTTTATTTCTAGATAAACATCTTCTAATGGTTTATCTTTTAGGTGTCGTGTAGAGGCTGATTCAGAGTTAAAATCTGGAAGATCTAAGTTTTCGTCCTCTTTGGCAGCACTTACGGTGATAGGTATAAATATTAAATGAGTGGACAGACATGCATATAAACTGCAAACTTGACTGGTTGGCAGAGGCACACAACCACAAGGCAGTAATACTAGTTTGTATCTGAGACATTTACTGCTCAAATTTAATTTTTTTTTGTGGCGTGGTAACGTGTTACATCATGCAAAACAGCAGGTGTGTTGGTTTAAACTGGAGGACCTGCTGAACAACCTGCGTTTATGTAAAAGAAGTTTTGTCTGACTCTAACCGTCTGTGTCTCTGCTCACAGGTTGTAAAGCTTTCTGAAATCGTCTCGCTGGCAAAGGAAGCTCAAGTGGACATCACCTTCCAGCTGCCCATCTAAGAAAGAGACCTGACCTTTGACCTCAATGACTTCCTCACCCCAAACACTTCCACAGACGCCAACCACTCCACCTCCTCCCCCATACAGACAGCAAGACGGGCCTCTCACACCCCGGACGTTTAGTTTTCTCTTTCTTACTCTGTGGCATGATGGCATGACTCTGTACAGGTGTCCAACAGGTAGACCACCACAACAGGTTACACTGAGAGAGAGAACAGCCTCCTTTTTAGTCACACTCGGATCTGTTTCCTGTCTCAACCTTTTTTGTCCCTCCACATTTCCTCAAACCTACAAACTTAATTTATACTTGAGTTGATACGCACAAACCTCCACTTTTAATTCTTTCACTATTTAAGCACTTGTTGGGAAATGTTCCTCCGCCCTGTTCGGCTGAAGCGTGTGACGACGCTGCTTTCACATTTGATTGGTGCTGTTACATCAGGCTGGTGCAGACAGGTGACTGGGAAGGCATCAGGAGATGGACTGTAATCCCATTACTTTCATTAAAACACACACATAGTTCTGCGTGAGTGCCTTTTCGGTGTCTTATCTCTATGTAGGAATGTGACAGAATAAAGTAAGATTTGTCCCCACTGTGCAGAACTTTGAAGTGTTTCATCAAACACACAAACAACATGACAGAGTGACGTCTCAGTGAAACACAGCGGACAGCACCGTCTGCAGCATTGATTTGATAATAGTGTTCAGACAGAAATTGCTTCAGAGAACGAGCTGTTGTTCCCGCAGACGCCTCGTCGTCATTCCTTTACCGTGTATAGACACAAGTGTTCATCAGCTGGTTCTTACTGGTCGAACTGAGCACACTTCCTTGGTCCAAAAGTGGAGACACATAATGTAAACTCTCCATTATGCTGTGATGATCACACTGAAAGTCTTCACTGGATTCATGTATTTAGAAGTATACTGCGCAGGATAAACACTCACCAGCAGAAGTAAAGGTAAAAGCCAACCTCAGATTCAGTCGTTTGGCATTTTGCCTCCCTATATTTGCATTCTCTCAGCCCTGTGGATGCCTGTTGCTCACGGGTTGACACCACGGTTTGACACCTGCTCGCTACCTTTTTAGAAAGCCGTGACTTCACCTGAGTGTGTGGGGGTGCACGCACATAGACCCAAACACACTGAGAGTGGGACATAAGTGATGATTGAGAGGGACTGCTGCTGTATGAGTGTGTACATCCTGCAGAGTATATATTTACATATGTCGCTGAATTCAGGCTCATTGTTAAGCGTCTGCAGAAATGTGTGAAAAGCTCAGTTCAATAAAAACACAATCTTATTTCCCTCCAGTGGATTCTGTCCATGCAGATAGTTTGGGATTAATTTGCAGATTTCTGCCTCCACTTCAGCACTATGGAGGTGAATGGACTTTAGTTTGTGTTGCTCACAGCATTGAGAATTTCTCACCGGCAGACGTCACTTACAGCAGTTTTTTAACTTATTTTCTACCAAAAAAGGCTCCAACACGACTGTTACAGTTTAATTTTAGCCACACTGTGAAGATGCTGATTCTAGCATTTAGCTCAGATGCTGCATCTTAAAGAGAGAGTTCAGATTTTTGAAAGTGAGGTTGTATGAGCTCCCTACCCATTGGTTTATTACCTAGAGTAGATGTCAGCTGGCATGCTCCCAGTTTGGAGAAGCAGGCTGGAGTACATCCACAGAAGCTAAGCAATGTACCGCTGTGGACAGGGGCAGCAACAAAGTGTATTATAGCCCCCGGAAAAATCACTGTCAGTTTGAGTGTACGCTATATTTATATTACTATTAATATTTAGAATATTTTTACTCCCTTACCTTTACCATACCCAGACTCCATTGAGAAAAACAGTGATTTAACCCTGCTGAACACAGGAGCCGCTGGTCTACCACTGCCTCGACCAGTTAGTTTGTTTGATGTTATTGCGTGACTTCGGCTTTTAGGAGGGTTAGTTCAGATTCACCAAAGTCACACAATAACACTAAATAACTAACTGATCGAGGCAGCAGTAGACCAGCAGCTCCTGTGTTCAGCAAGCTAAAATTGTTTTTCTCAATGGAGTCTGGTGAGTTTGACGAGAACATAGGTAGGAAACTGGAACCATTAGAACAGGCTGTCTTATGGAAAAATTAAGTGTTAGAAATACTGTAACTATAGCCAACACTTGAACTGGTATTGGGTTTTTTAGGTGGCTAAAATATATTTTCTGCTGCCCCCGTCCACAGCGGTGCATTGCTTAGCTTACGTGTCAGTACTCCTGCCTGCTTCTCCAAACTGCCATCTACTGCAGGTAATACACTGACTGTGGATAAGTCCCTCATACAACCCCTTCAAAAAAATCTGAACTATCCCTTTAACCCCACAGAGCTGCGAGCACAGCTGCAGGCTGTTAGTCCTGATTAAACCACAGATCTCACAGTGTGGACAAATACAGCCAAAACTATCTGCATGGAGGTATGTGAAAGATTTATTATCTTACCTTTAAACAAAGGGCATCAGGTGCACATGAGAGAACTTGCTTGTGTGCTTGTTTTGTTAGTGAAGACAAACGTAGCAACCTTTGCATTTTTAGCTGGAAACAGGCACTACTACTGGTTCAAAAACAATCAGATTTTATCAGCTGTAATCTAATCATTCACTATGAGTCATCATAAAGAGTCTTTGAGTACAAAGACATTTATAAATGGTGAAAGCTAAACCCAAAGAAATGTGAAATAAATGAATCTCCAGCTTTAGTTTTGAGTGTCGGAGTTTCAGCTCACCTCCCAGCATCCAGTCTCTGAAGGATAAAGGCCGCAGCATTAGCACCATTCTCACTGTTTACCCTCAGCTGTGAGCACAGACCACATTTGTCAGTCTAAAATATTAGCTGTGACACTTGTGGACCGCGGGCACATTGATTGATGCAGGGATTTGTGGCGGGTATTGATGAACAGTACTGGAGTTTCCCGCTCTGCTCGGCTGTGGCGCGGCTTCATGTGTGGTCGTGTTGAACAGAGGTGATACATCTCCACTTTTTAAACAAGTCACATGAATTATTCAGTGTTCCTGTTGTGGAGCTCAACTTTCCCAGAGAAACGGCCCGAGGGGGAAACTTGGTGTGATTTCCTGCGTTCACTTCGTCTCTCGCTCTGCTAAAGAGGATGCTTGTCTCTCTTGCTTCCCTCATGGTTTGTTGTAGAGTGAGCTCATGCGTCTTCTCACAGTCTGTTGTGTTGACCCCGTCCTGCTGAAGTGAAGCATGCTTTATGATGTTAGCTAACAGGGCGCACTGGCGTTAAGATCATCTAACAACCTCGACAGCGGGTTGATTGTGCTGTTGGAGGCAGCTGTTGTAGAAGTCCCTGGTTTAAAAACATGACTGCAGCATTTTAGCTTCACTCCATCAGTTTTTCTGAAAGTTACAAGAAACTGGACACACTGGAGATTTGTGTATTTATTAGGTCCCTCTGTTTCCTCCCTTTTATTGAAGAGCTGCTGCAGAGTTGAACAGGGACTTCTGCAGAAGCTGCTGCTGTACATTCAGTCTGCCATCATGCCACACGGCGTTTTTGTTTGTGTATATGATGTCTGACCTCTCACCAGAACGGTAAAATGACTGTAGTTTCTTATCCCTTCTTCCTCTTCCTCCTCCTTCAGCGCTCCGAACACAAGCAGACATTGTGAGTTGTACTTCATTTATTATATCTTGTAAATAACCAAACTGATGTTCTCTCTCTGTAAAATATTTATGCTCCTCACAAAAGGAGTACGACAAAGAAAGACAAAAAATAAATGCAGAGAACACCAAGGTTTTTGTGCTTCGTTCTTTTCTTCCTGTGTTGTCTTGACAAGGACGTTCGTCCATTTTCTGACATTTATTAGGGTCTGTTGACGACTTCGGAAAGACAGTACGCCAACTTCAGATTCATGTACATGTTTGAACTCCAGTAAGATCAGTTTCAGAGATAATACAGGACACAGTAGGATTAATTTGCAGTTGGGACAGCAGCGAAACCACCAGCTTAGCTCAACTCCAGCTCGACTCAACCCACTTAAAATAAAACCACGCTCACTTCCGCAAGACGAAACACGCTGCCAGACACTGAGGCTCAATGTTTGACTGCTTATAGCTCACTAGTGCACCCATACATGTACCCCACGGTCTCTCCGCCTCACTCCCCACCACCTAGAGATGAAGTTTGCTGACCGGGGCCAGTTCAGCCACTGAAGGTCCTGCTCTGCAAAAGGTAGATAGCTAACTTTATTTCAATCAGGAGAGACTCGTGTTTTTATAGTGACAGGAATATTTATTAACGTGCACATAAGAATGAAAAATGTAGAAAGTCTTTGGCGATTAGACCCCATAGAGATGGCATAAATTAAAGGAGCAAGTATCCTCCTGTAACCCTGTGGATCATCTGTTTTTTTCCACTTTGGTTTTGTAGGAATGGATTAAAGGAGTTAAGTAATGCGCTTTATTGTTGGCCATTTTCCCCTTTCTTTCCAGCCTTTATGCTAAGCTAAGCTAACAGCTGCTGGCTGTAGCCTTATACCTAGACAGACAGGTATGAATGTGCTGTCAATCTTCTAACTCCCCTCCAGGAAGCGAATTTCCCAAAATGTCTGACTTACTGACAGTTCAGCTTCCTGGTGTTTCATGAGCGTGGCCTGCAGCGTGGCTGTGGACTCTTTATTCTGTTAATTATACGGTTGTTAACCTGTTACTGTGTGTGTCGTTGGGTCCTGCAGTGACCCCGACACAGATTGCTCTGATTACAGGTTCTTGTTTTGCGGCGGAGTCACGCAGGCTGGCTGTAATGGCTGCTTGATTACTGGAGTGGATGTTTAGGGGTTTTTGTGGCGCAGCAGGAGACAGAAGGTCGAAATGTTGTTGACTCTGTTTATGGAAATAGATGTGTAATGATCCAAACTCTGCTCGAGGGGATGTAAAAAATAAAACTGTGATGACCTCATGTTTAGAGCTCTTTGTGAGTTATTAAACAGTCTGGACCAGAGGTAAAAGACAAACCACAGGTGTGACAGGGACCCCAGATTCACACTGAACCAGGCATGCTAAGTGACATGGCTCAAATTTAAGTCACTGGACGGAGTTTTAATAACTTAATATAATATCTTAAAGCAGACAGTTTGGGTAATAATGTTACTGTTCTCCTCTGTTTTCTCTTCCAAATTAACTGTCAGCATGTCGCTATGTTTGCACCTTGTTGCCACATTCACTTGTCTGTAAAGTCAGTGTGAATGCAAAGCAAACACTAACTTAAAGACAATTTTCCTTGTGCTAGATCAAATGAACCAACAGCCTGAAATTCCCACCGTACAGAGGGAGGGTACGAGGTGCTAGACACATGACTCAGATGGAAATTACTGGACAGAGTTTTGGTAACCCGAGCCTTAAAATGGGCAGTTTCACAGTTTGTGCTTTAAAATAAATTGTCAGTATGTCGGCACGTTCACACTTCGTCTACATGTCCATTTGTTTGTAAAAAGTCAGCGTGAATACAAAGCAAATTATAGCTAAAAGGCAAGAATGTACCTTCTCAGCTGGCACACGACCGAACTTTAAAGTTGAAATGTGGTTGAGATTATGTCAGTTGTTGTTTTAACATTTAAACAACATTGAAAGGTTTATTTTCGGATGTAAAAAGGTCACATAATTTTCATGAATCAACACTGAAATGTCAGAGAAGTCTGTTTTAACTTGGAAACTGTTTTGAAACAACAATGTTTGAAACAACATTGCAAACTCAACGTTGATTCATCTTTAAAAATCAAAACATGTTTCTGTATGCTGGACCAAATGGACCAAACTACAGATGTGAAAATGACCCCAGATCCACACTGAACCAGGTGGGTTAAGTCACACGACTCAGGTATAAGTTACTGGACAAAGTTTTGATAACTGGAGCCTTACAGTTTGGGTGATAATTCTGTCGTTCATCTTGTTTTCTCTTCCAGATGAATTGTCAGCATGTCGCCACATTCGCACCTCGTTGCCACATTCACTTGTTTGTAAAAAGTCAAGTTGAATGCAAAGCAAACTGGAACTTAAAGGCAATATTGTGCCTTTTTTTCTTGTGCTGGACCAAATGAACCAAACTACAGGTGTGACAGTGATCTCAGATTCACTTTGGCCCAGGCCCGTTTTGTCACATGACTTAGATATATGTTTCTGGACAAAGTTTTGATAACGTGAGCCTTAAAAACTGTCATTTTGGGTAATAATTTCACTGTTTGACTTTGTTTTCTCCTCCTAATATATTGTCACCCCAGCACCACATTGACTTGTTTGTAAGAAGTCAGCCTGATCACCAAGCCGACTTAATTAAAAACACAATTATAGCTGCTGCACAGCAATGGTCAGGGCCAGGCAATTTTAGGCAAAATTAGGCAATTCTGAGCAACACACACACTAAAACAAAGCATATCACAACATAGAAGTTACATCATATAATTATGGCATGCCCTTCAAATTGTGGATGAGTGGCTGAAGTGATCAGACTCATAATATACAAAGGAAAGAAAAAACTCAAGAACAAGAAAGTAAGAACATTAACTGCTAGCAATTATGAACAAACTGGCCTGATCTAGCTTAAAGCTAAACATTATCCATGGTGACAAAGATGAAAACATTTTGTAAAATGTAAAAGTAGCTATTGGATAGACTCTGCATATTGACTGATAGCTAAGCCAAATAAACAGGGAAAAGAGACAAGGGATAACAGGGAAAAGTGTTGATAAAGAGTATTTGTCTCTCCGCAAAACTGCCTGGATCATAATTATTTTAACCTTGGTAGTCTCTAATCCACATAGCATGATGCCTGAACATAGGACTTTCACATTAGAATGTCCGTTCTGCCTTAGCTGAGGCTTGAACTCACAACTTCTGAGACTGAGGTCCGTCTTCTATCTCACTGAGCTAATTGGCAAGTGACAGTTCATGTGTGGCTTCACAAATTGACTAAGCCAAGCATCAGGGTGCCAGACAGTAGCCATCCATGCCATGGAAAAGCAAATTTCAAAGTGAAAGTTCCAAAGCTGTAGCACATATGGTTGATTTGTTATGAATTTTCAAAGTTTTGAAATTTAGAGGCTTGCTGTAGCGCCACCATCAGGACTATTGTCTTGTGTTTCCAGTTGAGGACATCTGGCATGGGACTGGACCTTTATGAAAAGTTTGGGTAGATTTCTCATATGGAAATGTTGCACGAGCTGAGGCTTGAACTCACAATCTTCAACACCAAGAACCATCCTCTATCTCACTGAGCTAAGTGGCAAACAGAAATGTCACATGTAGCTTCACAAATTGACTAAGCCAGTCACCTGTGTGCAAGACAGCAGCTGTTAGTGTGTAGACAGATTTCAAACAGCTGTCAAAAATTCAGTTATTAAGACAAAAATCTGAAAATACACAAATTGCATCTAGACAGCATGGAGATGTTGGTAATTTGTTTTTAACAATGATTTATTGGCTCCATAAGTGAAAAACTGATGTTTAAAATTGCCATTTTTACATTGACTCCAGTTGTTCACATTAGAGCGAAATTCAAAATGCTGTCAAAAATTCAGTTTTTGAGATAAAATTCTGATATTTGCCACACATCATCTACCATGACTCTAGAATTTTGTCATTTTTTTAATGAACATTGAAAATATATTTAGCAAGAATTTGCATGTATATGTTTACAGTACCGTTTACAGTCAAACTTTTTGATGCACTGTAGGCTCAATTTTTCACACACACGCAAACAGAGAGAGATACCCATGATGGAAAAACAGCCCCAAACATGACGGAGACAACAGCTGGGTGCAGAAGCGCTTGTCGACCGGCGTGGAGAAATGCGAGTCTGGTGTGAACGGGCTTGCGCGAGAATTTTGGTGCACTGCGCTTCGCAGCACTTCGCCGGCAGTGTGGCCCTGGCGTAAGACTGTAATTAATAAGGCAATGATGTACTTATTTGTCCTTCGATTTGTCCTTGGTCGACTGGAACAAATGAACCGAACTCCAGGTGTGAAAGTGACCTAAACGAACAGAACACAACTGTGTCTGAGACCAAGCGGAGCAGACTGCAGGTGAATTTGTACCTGTAGATGATAAACAGCTGAGAGCCTCTAACTGTCTGCTGCTGGACGACCGTGTTGCAGCACCGAAGATGAAAAGCTGGTTCCAGTCATCAGAGAGGACCTCCTGCTGCTTTAAGATCTTTACTCAAATTAAGTCTCGCCATGACGAAACGTACACACACTCAGCTTTGAAGTCTTTGCTCGGCCTTTTTCTTTTTTGTTCCACGATGTCTTCTGCTGCGACACAAAGGCTCAACTTTCATCCTCCAGCGAGAGCAGATGAGACGTTTCATTACATACTTGCTGCCATGTTATTCCCCAGATGAAAAGGTCTCTGAGGCAGAAAATGCTACTGTGAATGAACCTTCTTTATGTTCTTTAGAAAAGGTCGCAACTAAAGCCAATTTATAGGAAGGCAGGGGGTCTGCTTTAAGTCGAGTGCTGATTTTTCATGGACGTACTGTTGCCTTTAGAATTAAAATATGAAACCTGATGACTAATCTTTCACCCTTGTAATGTGTTTGTGGGCGGCGGGGAATCTCAGGATTTATTTTGGCTGTGAAGGAACAATGTGGTGATGCCAAAGGTCCTTACTTAGACCCCTTTCACAGTGTTTTACTATCTCACGAGAGGTGGACAAAAAAACAAAAACACTTTATAGTGGAATCCAAGTGAAGCTCTGTGCATCTCAAAACTGAACTGGCACTTTTAATCTGTTGTTGGCCT